TCGAAAAAACGACACTTCGTACTCTAAGTATTATTTTCGCATTTTTTCGCGGAGCTCTGTGGCATCTTGACTTTTTTAACGGTCTGCGCGTGACTGTGAACCAAGAAGTGCTTGAGTGGAGTTCAAGCACATCTTGATTGGGACATATTTTGAGCGCTCGTGGTGTCTAGGGTATTTAATATTAAATATAAGAAATGGTGTCAATTCTGGCATGATTTTCTAAACCTGAACTTAAATTTGACATCAGTGTATCCTTGTCATTCACTATGATACAGAATGAAAAGGAGATACTGGTATTTTTAATTTAATAAGTTTTAAGTTTCAGAATCACGCCAGAATCACAAAGTGATCACCTAAAAATTAGATTAAAACAAAAAGGTAAATTACGGCACTCGCGGCTCAAAAAAATGATTTGTGGCTAAATACCTATTTATATCAATTTATTGTACTAAGCCCTGTATGGGGAAAAAAGATACACAGGAAAAACCGTATATTCAAATCCAATAAATACTTAACTATCGAACAAAAATGGTCTGCGCCTTTATAATTTATTCTTTAAATATAAAACTCGAAGGTGACTGACTGACATAGTGATCTATCAACGCACAGCCAAAACCACTGGATGGATGGGGCTCAAATTTGGCATGTAGGTAAATGTTATGACGTAGGCATCCGCTAAGAAAGGATTTTGATCAATTCTACCCCCAAGGGGATAAAATAGGGAATGACAGTTTGTATGAAACTTTGTCAATTTTAAACCGATCGGGCTGAGACTTTGCATGCAGATATAAGAAGAATCATAGATGAATGCCATTGTGTATAATACAAGCCTGAGAACAAAAACTGTAGTCTACACTTCAGCTCTACACCGAAGCGAAGCGAGGGCGGGCCGCTAGTTTATCCTGTAAGTCTTCCTAAACTATACGAAGGTTACATATACTTATTTCTATCAATGCCTACTACCTATAGAAACACAAATAAAACAATCGGAAACAATATAATTCAAACACTTCGATAGTTTACAATTTCTACTAACCCAAACTATAACCTTACGATCTATGACCCGTTGTCATAGTAACCGTCTATGCAAACTTCTAACATTAAAACCTATGTATTTTATCAATTACCTTATGAAACTTATAATGCGATTCAACTAAGAATAGGACCGACTGGGCGCCATATTGTGACGTCATAGCTGTCAATTCAAACAAAATAGGTAGAGTGAGCAAAAAAAATTTTATTTTTTAAAACTTATTTACTAAGATTGAGAAAAGAAACAACAGATTTTAATAACATTTATTTATTATGACTGTGTGAGAAAAAACATTAATCAGAATCTAGCTCTTCAATTTCGGTAATCTCTGCATTACCGCCGGATTAGTATTTATAATCATGCACTATTACTAGGAACATGCACCTTTATGTAAACGAAAGTTTTAAATCGTGTTTCTGAACGCAACTTAAAGTGACATTTGGTTGACGATTTAGGTTATCAACCATTTATAGCCAAAGCTCAATAAATAAAAAAAACAACCAATATTAATTATCAATATTTCTTACTATTTGTTTGCAAATGTTTGGTAAGGTTCCAAGATTTTATTGCCAACCGTAGTTTTCAAGCGACATTTGACAGATGGAGGTCATTGGCTTTCCTATTCTTATTTGAATCGCACTATATGCCTGAATCTGCCATATAAAACTAATATATGTATATCCGAATAACACAAAAAATCACATATTTATACACTTTTCACTATTGATTATAAACGAACTGTTCATGACGTCCCACTGCACTTATGAAGTTTCGTCCTTGTTCTCTCGTGATAAGGCGGTCGTCTCGTACAGTATAGGTGGAATAGGGAGACTGGGCCGTGACCCACCACGCGGGCCCAGTGGGGATTGGTGGGTGCAAACTACTGCAGATGCAGCCGGGACTGACGGCTTAACGTGCCTTCCGAATAGTGTTGCCAGATCCGATTTGTTTTAAATCGGTACATGAGGTCAAAAAAATCGGGATTTAGGGTTGTAGATCGGGACAATAAACAAAAAACAAGTGGCGAACAAGTCTGGGTTTCATTTATTGCGTTTTAAACTACTAGTGCAAGTATAGTATTATATTAAATACCTAAAAAATTTTTTGAAGTTATACTTCTTTAGCCGCGTTATGAAAAAATATGAGAGTGAAATTTTAAGATGCGCGCGCATCACTGTAACACAAAAGTAACATAATGAAGTTAGCCGCGGGCGCGTTATGAAAAAATGATGTGAGTGAAATTTTAAGATGCGCGCGCATCACTGTAACACAATAGTAACACCGTGAAGTTGGCCGCGGGCGCGTTATGAATGTTAGTGTCTAATAATGGTGGATTTTTAACCACTAAGTGGTTAATAGTCCACTATTATTAGACATCTGTTCGAAAGGTACTTTGAACGATCCACGGAGCTCCATAAGATGATCGCGTTGTCAAAAACAATGTTGGCACGCTCGTCGCCTCTGATCACTGTTTTCATATTTATAATATTTATCCACATGTTTCTAGTATTTCTATATAGACACAACGTGTTTTAGTTACTTACAAGTGCTAATTACATATGGACTAATAACTTAAATTCAGTAGTGATTTTAATTGAATATTTTGAATATTTATTTAATTTTTCAAATTAAAACTGAACTTAATTGACTGTGTTAACTATCCTTTTCCAGTCCTTTTATTATTTTATTGTAATTATTAATTATTTGCATGCAATTAAAAAATATTTTTAATGATGTTAAAGAAGTATAACTTCTCACGCGCGTACATAAGTTACACGCATCCATTATTTCATTAATCGGGACATTTAGCTTCCCGATTAGGTATAAATTGGGACGCGTCCCCAGACCCCTGAAAATCGCCTGGCAACACTACTTCCGAAGCACGAAGTCTCCATATCTCCTTAATATAAGGTTTTTCTATATAAATGGAATAAAATCGATGCAGGCATCTATGTGAATGAGCGAGAATAAAATAAAAGACAATATAAAACTGTCGGACATCTTTATTTGTTCCAAAAAATTCCAATTGCATTATTTACTGTAATAAATAAAAATACATCTGGTAAATACATATTACAAAATGTCCGCAATATTTCGACTTGGCAGTCTTGTAAGTGCTACATTAATAAGCAGAGGCCGTATTCTCTTAAAGCCAGGCAAATTCCATTGTTAAAGCGAGACATCACATACGTACAGCATAGCAGCATCCTACTTCAACAGCTATTTTTGCCTGGCGTTAAGCGCTCATAAAATAAATAATAAATATTTCCAACACTCACACCAATTAGCCTAACTTCCAAGTAATCACTATAAGGCTTGTGTCATGGGACGCTAGGGTAACGGATAGAATACATATACTGTACATATATAAGTATCTTTATATAGAAATAAATATTAAACATCATGACTGGAGTACAAATGTTCGTATTAATCACACAAACACCAGCCCCCACCGGGATTCGAACCCGGGACCTCCCGAGCGGCGACACCATGAAACCCGGCGTACAAACCACTCGGCCACGGAGGTCGTCATAATACGGCCCCTGATATAGCAAGCATACTTCTTGATCCACAGACAAATAAACTTTCGTAGTAGACGTTTTTGTATGTAAAATTGCTACTGCGCAAACCTTCCTTCTCTATAGTCGATGTTCAAGAAGTTTGCGCGGTTTTTAAGATATACATTTCGTATCAATTCCAATACTAACTACAGCAGAACTTGTAACAAACCCATCATTTTGGTTGTGTTCGGTAACAATAGTATAGAATAAAAAATATTTTCCAACAAGACAAAACAATGATTCGTATAATAACTTTAACAATGGTGTTGATTCTGGCACGATTCTCTAAACCTAATCTTAAATTAGGACAACAGGGTGTCCTTGTCATTCTCTATACAGAATAAAAAGGAGAGACTGATGTTAAATTTTGTTTTATATTTAGAGAATCACGCCAGAATCGACACCCTCGTTTGTGATTTCATTGAAAATATTACAATAGATGCTCTGCGCATCAGTTATACCTAATAAACCATTGTTTATTCTAATAAAGAATAACAAACTTATTTCATTGTTTCTTTCAGAATTTATCTTACTTCTAAGAATATTATTGAAATTGTAAATTGTATTAATCTTAAAAGATAATAATATTCTACGTATTTATTTACAAAAATCAATTTCAAAAGGAAACTACATCGTTTGCCTTACTTTTTTTTTGTTTTTTTTTGTTGTTTTATTATCTGTTGAAAATAACAGAAGGGTGGGTATTCTCTGAATGTAAATTATCTTTTTAAATAACAATCAGGAGAACAAACGATTATTTTTTAGGTTTAAGAGATCAAAATAATAATTTAAAATAGTAAAATATTTTTTTATCTGTTAACATTATCGTTTCTTGCTTAGAAATTAGAACAAAGGTAAAATTTAATAACATTAGAAAAGGTATTCAAATAAAATAAAATTCATTCAAAATATACACATATAAATGTATTAATAAAATAGTACTTACATATGCGTTTAACAAGGTCTCACGCAAATCAAAATTTTCAAGTATAAATCAATCATTAATAACCATATTTAAAAACAACTTGTTCATGTTATTTAATCTCACACATTTTAAGGCACAATTTACTTTAAAAATCTAAAATATTTCTAGATCACTTATTAAAAAAAAACGATATAAGAAACAACTTAACAGTTACGTAATATTATTTAGCATATCATAGAATCGTTCAAATTCTTAAGATATTATTTCTTAGAATTTAACAATAAAGAAAATATTTATTTCTTTTATAATATTCCTAACCTTCTTGTATGGAATTATTGTACCTTCTTGATATTACTAACGCCATCTATTAAGCGTTATTAACAACTTAACGAAATAACGACATAACGAAATAATAGCATAGAGGTAAAAGAATAGAGTGGGGAAGGCGGCTCTAAAAGTGTTCGTCTAGTAGAAAGAGAAAGAAGATGAGAGACCGCTATCTCTCTCTCTTGTGACGCATGGCATCCAATGGCATCACATCGAAATACTGCGCATGCGCAATTAGAGAGAGAAAGCTAGCAGTCTCTCATCTTCTTTCTCTTTCTATTAGAGGGACACTTCCACTTGTACTAGAGTCTATATCTCCATTACTCTATTCTTATACCTCTATGTTTCCAAATGCGTTTTTTTATTTACATATTGTCTCGCTTGACGATGGCTGCTTCATACAGCCACAATATTCTTTTTTTTTATATTGAAATTCTCAAACCTGTGGTTGTTGCAAAAAAGGTTATTCAACTTAAACGTTCAACATTTTGATGCAAATGGGACATCATTTAATTTCAAACATAGTCTTACTTATTACTTTATAACACAGATATATTATTTTGAATCTAAGGAAAAGAAATAATCCGTTTAATTTATAGTAGACATAGAGACGAATGAGCATTTTTTGTCCAATTATAAACTCAAATTGGGCAGTTAGGTGTGAAAGAGACCAAGCGTTGGTGCGGCCAATTTATCTCATTCTAGAGAGTTGTCAAATTCAGTGCATTCTCTACGTCTCTGGTTAACAACACAAATGAAAAAAATAAAACAACTCCACACACACATTTGCGTTTAATTTCTGCTCCTTTTTTATAACAAAAAATTATCTTTAAAAAAATATTCTCCTTAAATTACTACCTTAGTCTATGACTTAAAAAAATAAACGCGTTTTGTTTTTTCGTAATTGCATTTCTGCGTTCGGTTATTGCTGGTTTTAGCGACATTTTTTCAGAAACTCCAAAACTTCTGGCGGGTAATTTTCTCTCGAAGGTGATCGCATGGCTGACCGTGCGTTCTCGAGTGGTGACTTGGAGCTGAGGACAAAACATTCTTTATGTTATAGCATATAAAAACTTTGTTTTGTTTGTGTTTTTGACTGGTGATGGTAAAACTAAAATCATGTATTTGTGTGCGTGGATTCATTTAGTGCTTGAAACCGGTTTCGAAAATACCGGTAAATAAAGGTTAATACCGGTTTTTAGTAAAGGTTTCGAAGCGCGTCCGAAATGAAAGCGGTACCTAAAACCTTAATAAACCGGTTTAATCCAGAGCGCAACGTGCCCGCGTCGGCATAGCTTGAAGTTTGTTTTGTTTGAACTAATCAAGTCACAACTTGTTAATGCAGAGAGATTGGTGCATTTATTGACACGTTTGCTAGCGCCTAGTGAGTCAAGTTATTCATTTATTATGGATGCCGTCAGAAAGAGCGAAATGAAACCCTTTAAAAACCGCTAAATTGATTCAAAACCTATTTGATTTCGCTCTTTAGGAAAACCGGTTTTTTAAGGTTAAGGTAGAGACAAACCTAAATAAAACGCTCCTAATGTACCTGACACTGACTTAGGTTTGAAATTAACCGGTAAACAAGCCCTGGATTCATTCAACATACGCATACAAGAAAATGAATTCGGCACGCATTACCGCGCTTATTTTGATTAAGCCACGGCTTGTAGGCCTTACAATTCTAAGGGTGTTACGATAAATTGATAAAAGATGGCGCTAACTTAAGTGGAAAAAACATATTTTTTATCGACATAATTTATTTAATAACTTTTGTAATCGTTATGAATTCATATTAGGAGGTTAGTGAATATTATTTTATATCACTATCACTTTTACAAATAATACTAAAACATTATTACAAATGTTTTATTTATCCGTTAGTATGTTAGGTTACATAGTATTTATATGTTGCCTGAATATAAATATTACACACTCACCACGTATTAGGCGCGTGTGCCAATTTCTTCCAGTCTTTCCTGTTCAGGTGGCTGAATATAACCATGATGAGAGGCAGGTCGCAGGTGCGGGAATTTACCGCCATATGGAGCGCCGTGTCGCCGCCTTTAGCATCCTGGAGACAGGACAATAAATCAAATAAATGTTTCAAATATTATATAAACATCGTTATCATCATCAACAGCCCATCTTAGTCCACTGCTGGGCATAGGCCTCTCCAAGTGCACGCCTGAGATCGATCTTGGGCTGCTCGCATCCAGCTCCTGCCAGCCATATATATATAAATATATATTATATCGAACAGCGTTCTTGATATTCGGACACAGACACTTTCAATAATATTAGAATGGATTTGTTTCTCACCCCTTGCCATACCTCAGCAGTATATGTGTGTGAGTGTGTGTGTGTGTCAGCAGTGTAAGTGTGTATGTAAATATGTATTACTAGCGGCCGCCCGCGGCTTGGTACGCGTTAAGTTTAGTTTTTTGAGAATCCCACAGGAACCTAACATTTTATAAGATAAAAAGTATCTATCCTACGTCTCAATCTAGGACAAAAACTATTTGCGCACCAAATTTAATCCAAATAAATAATTAGAATTTAATTATAATAATGGTGTATGTATGTGTTTCTTACCCCTTGCCACACATCAGCAGCGGCATGCGTCAGCAGTAGATGTGTGAGTCAGCAGTATTTATGTATGTTTTTCTTACCCCTTGCCATACATCAGCAACGGCGTGCGTCAGCAGTAGATATGTGTGTGTCAGCAGTATGTACGTATGTTTTTCTTACCCCTTGTCACACATCAGCAGCAGCGTGCGTCAGCGCAGTTGATATGTTTGTCAGCAGTATGTATATATGTTTTTCTTACCCTTTGCCACATTTCAGCAGCGGCGTGCGTCAGCAGTAGATATGTGTGTGTCAGCAGTATGTACGTATGTTTTTCTTACCTCTTGCCACACGTCAGCGGCAGCGTGTGTCAGCAGTATGTATGTATGTTTTTCTTACCCCATGCCACACGTCAACAGTGGCGTGTGTCAACAGTAGATATGTGTGTGTCGGCAGTATGTGTGTATATTTTTGTTACCCCTTGCCACATATTAGCAGCGGCGTGCGTCAGCAGTAGATATGTGTGTGTCAGCAGTATGTATGTATATCTTTCTTATCCCTTGCCAAAAGTCAGCAGCGTCGTGCGTCAGCATTAGATATGTGTGTGTCAGCATTATGTACGTATGTTTTTCTTACCCCTTGCCACACGTCAGCGGCGGCGTGTGTCAGCAGTATGTGCGCGCAGTGCAGGCGGGGGCAGGCCGCGCTGTGCTCGCTACAAGCCACGTGCAACGCTGATGCTCCTGAACAATGCAATATTTATCGAATATTAATCAAGAGCTACTGCTCCTGTTGCAATGTTTAGATGGAGAAAAACATAAAGGACTCTCGTCTCAATAGGCTGTTTAAAGAGTTTTCCAAAAGGTTCACACGTTATTATTAATTAGTAAAACTAAATCTAACCTCAGCATCTCCTTTTCATTCTGTAAGGAGAATGACAGGGATACACTGTTGTCAAATTTAAGATTAAGTTTAGAGAATCATGCCAGAATCGACACCAATGACTCTATAAAAAGTGGATATTTATAATTCTGTTGTTCACCAAAAAAAAAAAAGAAAAAAAATGCCGCGTTTCTCTAGCAAATATGGCGACTGGACTTTTTGGCGGGATCGGGAAGCGTCACTTAAGCAGTTTTGTTTTTTTTGTTAAAAATTGTGTTGTGGCGGATGTTAGTGTCTAATAATGGTGGATTATTAACCACTAAGTGTTCGGGAACATGCACAAGTGTTGGCAAGTGAAACGAAATAGCGGAAAGTGTCTTTCGACGTTCCCTCAAGAAGTCCACGGGGGAGGTTCCAGTAAATCCCCATACATTTACTGAAACATAGGGAAAAGGGGATTGACTTGACTGCCACTTACTTTGACCACGAGTGCTATATGCTAATTTAGAAACATTTTAACACTTGACATTGGCTAAATGCACAAGCTGTGCGAAGCCATTTAGAAAAAAAATATATGGCGACTCACAGGCAGACGATGTCGGACGGCTTTTAGTAAAACGTCAAATAGTACGAAATAATGTCACTTTGACAGCATGTTTACAAGCAGGTGACGTTATTTCGGCGTTTTCGGTAAAAAATACTTTTCTGTTTCATGATTTTTAGTAACATTATTAACTACCATTATGTAGCAACAATAAAACCGCTCCCAATATTCAAGTTAAACATACATGCCAATAATTCATTATTATTGAATTGGTACTATAGTTTTCATACTCTCCTTATAGCCTAGGTATTATAAATAACTAGATAATTTTTGGTGATTAGGCTACCCATTGTTACAACGGGTTATGTATTATGTTCTGTAGTGCGCCATAAAGTCATTTGTATTCGGTAGATATGACTGGGAATACCTATAATGTATTGTTCCGGTCATGAAAATGGAAAAATGCCAGCAGTAAGGATATTGCCATTTGGACAAAGTCGCAGGCAAGAACTTGGTATATAAAAAATAAAAATTTACAGTTAAAAACTTTCAATGCAATTTCGTAACGTTAATTTTTTGCCGAAAACATCTAAAAAAAAAGTATCTTAAATAAAATAAATGTTGACATATTGTCATGTGATGGCCGGGCATGATATCCAGTCTCACGCCAACCTTTATCAGTCCCAGACAACCTTGGCGTTTAAAAGTTCATTAGCTATAAAAACTCTTTTTCTAGTCATTATGTAATTAAAGTCAAAGAAAACCTATTAAATTACAAAAGTACATTATCATTAGTCTATTAATATACCCACTGCTTCTTCGGATGATAGGACAAAAATTTCATATTTAGTGTTTTCCGTGCTTCGGAAGGCACGTTAAGCCGTTGGTCCCGGCTGCATCTGCAGTCGTTAGCACCCGCCAATCCGTACTGGGCCCGCGTGATGGTTCACGGCATGTTCTTCCTATTCCATTATTAGGCCTGTGCCACATCAGTGGGAACATTAATAGGCTGATGATTTAAGTTAACAGACAATATAATTAATATACTCGTCATCTGCATGTCGACAACTCCTTAACCACTGGAGATGTTAATGTTTAGTTACACTTAATATAAATAACACTATTTGTATTTATACTGCATGACACAGCAATCAAAATTCAGGTAAACAATTTATGTATATTTAATCATTATGTAAAGAAAGGTGTCTTTACAACTGAAGATGTTAATGTTTAGTTACACTTAACATAAATAACACTATTTGTATTTATACTGTATGACACAGCAATCAAAATGCAGGTAAACAATTAATGTATGTTTAATCATTATGTAATGAAAGGTGAATTCATGAATAATCTCTGAAGTAATTTTTCAACTTCATGACTCTGTAAATGATAAAACAGGGAGAAAAAAAAGCCCTTGTTGAGTTTCTTGCCGGTTCTTCTCAGTACAAGGTCTCCCGCCGTAGATTTACGAAGCGATGGCGTAGTTTCTAGACATTCATGAGTGCTTGTAACAGCCTCAAGTGAATAAATGATTTTGATTATGATTATTACTCGTCGTTCGCAATCAAACACTTGTCAGTCACTTATTATCCATCCACCATCCACATGTAATTCGACTACCACTCTCCATTCACTCACCGTCCACTCGTTATCCACTTGTCACCCACTTACCGTCAGCGTTGATGTGGTTGACTTTAAACAGCGGATGTCATCATTGTCGGAGCAACGACGCGTCAATTCTTTCAGCGCATCATCAATTCGACTGCCACTCTCCATTCACTCATCGTCCACTCACCATCCACTTGTCATCCACTTACCGTCAGCGTTGACGTGGTTGACTTTGAACAGCGGCATGTCATCATTGTCGGAGCGACGCGTTAACTCTCCCAGCACGTCGGCGCACGCGTCACCGCGCCGCACGCACGCTATCAACAACGTGTCGCCTAGGGCGTCCACCTGTAGGCAACACGAGAGCAACACATTTAATATTTGTTATAGAAAAAAAGAGTGGAATAGCCTAATGCCTGAGCAACTTTATCTAGTAAAAATTTCTTTCCCTTACCCTCCAGCACTTCTATTCAAACACCACATAAGTTGGATGTGTGTGGTACGAAACTTTTTCTTTTTGTATAAATAAAAATAATAGTGGGTGACTGCTATTGGCCTTACATGAAACTGTAAACGAAAAATGTAAAACTTAATCAGGCTGTTGTTATCCTAAATAAATAAATAAAATACTGACTATTTGGACGCGACCAAAAAGTCATGACCGTTTGTTGAAAATTTGTTGTTGCATGCTTTATAAGGTATAAGGTTGCCCTCTTGATGATAATTCTACTGCGCTCGAGTAAATCATAAAATCCCTGCTTGGGGGACTATAACTATTATAAGCAACTTCGCAGTGGCCGGTCATTGGATGGGTTACCAAACATTCATTATATCGAGTGAGCTTCTCCATGCTTCGCAAGGCACGTTAAGAGCCCTTTTACAAAATTGCGCCGCTGCCGTACTGATCGGCGCGTAGGTAGATTTGCACTAGTATATATTGCATTTTACGGGTGATGTTTCGAGTCTTATAACATAACTAGCGGACCCGACAGACGTTGTCCTGTCTACACGTCTTTGTGAATCTAAACCATTCTCAGATCCCCTTGAACACACACAAAAAATTTCATCAAAATCGGTGCAGTCGTTTAAGAGAAGTTCAGTGACATACACACTCACAGAAGAATTATATATATAAAGATTATTATTGAACTAATTATAAAAATATATACGTATTTCAGTAGTTCAATGATGGTAGATTAGTTTATTGAAAGTTTTTGATAGTAATTCTATTAAATTCAATATCAAAATACGAGGTAAACTACATTATTTTTTGGAAAAACGCACGGAGGTTAGATGTTTTTTTTGATAATTAATGAGATGGCAAATCAAAATTCTAATACATTATGTTACAACAAAAACAGATTTCTGATGTCTTAGTAATTAATTAGATCTAATTTATTGAAGATTATTGAGAGATGGAGGCGTTTGAAGTTGTGCATATTATCGGTTTTTTCCGTAAACTAGCTGCGGTAGAACGTTCAGTACAAAAAAAGGAAAAATAGTATTTACAAATATTCTACATTAACTTACAATAGGAAGAATAAATCTACTGATTACTTCTATTGGAAATATTCAAAATCTTTTCTAAGGGGGTTTCGTTTCTAAACGAGGCGCTCGAAAATTACGATTTTTTGCAAAAAATGTGAAAGGGCACTCAAGCCGGTCGATTCCAGCTCCAGCTGAGGCAGGGACCTAGCTGGCCTAACTTTATTTTTGTTTATTTATGTTAATATGACTATCATCATCATCATCATCAGCCTCTTAATGTCCCCACTGCTGGGGCACAGGGCTTCCCTATGGATGGAATAGGTAGATTGGGCCATGACCCACCACGCGGGTCCAGTGCGGATTGGCGGGTGCTAACGACTGCAGATACAACCGGGACCAACGGCTTAACGTGCCTTCCGAAGCACGGAGGAACTCGAGATAGAAATTTTTGGTCACCCATCCAATGACCGACAATTGCGAAAGTTGCTTAACTACAACGATCGCAGCCGAACGCGCTAACCACCTGCGCCATCGATCTCCTCTAATATGACTAATATTCTAATATGACTATGTTTAAGGCTAATAAAATATATTTCTTCTTCTTCTGCTTCTTCTTCTTCTTCAATCGGTAAGACCCACCAATCCGTAAAGGCCGATTACATCTTAAAACCATTGACCGAGTAAGCCTGAGTAATCATTTAAAGCTTACGGTATTTTTTTTACCAGATTTCCTTAGATTTTTTAAAGAGTGCAAACGTGCATTTACCCCGGCTGACTAGGGTTGCCATGTCACCAAACCTAGAAGCCGGACAGTAAATATGTTTAAAAAAAAAGGTATAAGAAATTTCGTTTAGCTTATTTTTTTTCTATTTATATTGTGAGAAAAAAATATTATATCATTTGCTTATTATAAAATAAAAATATTAAAACACACCTTATTAATAATTATTTAAGCAAAAAAGGTAAGATACAAATATTTATTTCCCAAAATATGAAAGTTACAAAATACTAATTTATAAGTAAAATTAATATTGGAAAAATTATGTGCTACATTTGTAGCATAGATATTCATAAATAAAATATATTAAAATCAGCTGCGGATGCAAGTCGAATTCGTAATAACTCTAAACAGACGTTTGACTGTTACGAATCATCCATTATTTTTATTTATACTTGCTTGGTGAACTTCGGGAACTCCTCTGGAAGTTTTTGTTTACACTGACTCTAACCAGATGAACCATCACATACCCATTTACTGTAAAAAACTCTCAATCCATTCTTATACACTAACTTATCAAAAGGCTCAATCCATTCTTATACACTGAATCTATAGCCAAAATCCTAGCTTCAGTGTGGCCAATATTTTAATAATAATAATAATTGTTCGATTTTTAAAGTTTTATTGTCTATGTATGAATTTATTACTTAATTTAGTTAATAAAGTACTTTATTTAAAAATCTTTTTTGTAATATTGAATTTATTTATTTGACCCTAACTACCGTAAACTACCACCGGTTCCAAAAGTGGGAGACCTTTCTGAGAAGAACCGGCGAAACAAACTCAAGAGAGGCTTGCTATCTCCTTCTTATGTTAATTTATGCAAACAATGTGACAAACTTCTTGCCAAGCACTTATTTTAGCATCACGGTCTTTATAAAATGCCTGTATGCGTGCGTGTGTGTGTGTGTGTGCGTGTGTGTGTGTGCGTGTGTGTGCGTGCGTGTGTGTGTGTGCGTGTGCGAGTAAGAGAAAAAAGCTATAACTTTAAAACACCATAGGTTATAGCAAAATGAAATCTCATTAGCCAAAGCAAAACCCGATAGGTGGTAGGCCCCCTCCTCCCCAGATGGCAACAAGGCGAAAACCAAAAAAACCTAGGTATCGAAAATGAGAATTGTACCGGCTATTTGTAACATCTTAAACTGGTAAAAAGTTAAATTTAGACCGAAACCTAACGTTTTTAGATGACGTCGGAGATAAATTTAACTAACAACTGATGCGTTGCGAAAAACTGTGATAAGAATAAAATTTAAAAACAAACATGCTGTAGACATGTCTGCTCTTTAAATCCTGCAAATGACATAGCAGATAACGAGATACTATTAATTTAAAACAAGCGGCCGCCCGTGACTTATTTCGTGATAACTTCAGTTTATGGAGAATCTCACAGGAACAAAAATAAAGGACATGGTTAATAAACTGCCCTTAACGTGTATAATTGTTTCGCACTAGCCTAAAACATTATAATATTACTAGCTGTCCCAGCGACCTTTGTACCGCCTTAAAAAATAGGGGTTGATTGTAAAGGGTTGAAAATTCAGCGTTATATGTATTTACTAATGCTGTATCATAAAAAAATAAAAAAAAAACAAAAATTATCTACAATTAAAAAAAAAAATTAGGGGTGGATTACCCTTAACATTTAGGGGGATGAAAAATAGATGTTGTCCGATTCTCAGACCTACCCAATATGCACACAAAATTTCATGAGAATCGGGAAAGCCGTTTCGGAGGCGATATTAGATTTTATTAATATTAATGTATTTATTATTCTCATACAACTTTCGTGAAACAATCAAATTATAAAAGTATAAAAATTGACTTTGTCTCTTTCACATGGAAAATGTTCCGTTTTACAAAAATAAATTAACAATAAATGTGCACAAAAAATATTTGTGTAAGTATATTGAGATAAACAATATTATTTCCAAACTCATAAAAACTGTGAGATATTCGGCCATAATTTTTATTATAACAAATCGCTGAAGGCCTAAAATAATAGATTTTATTTTTCTAATCAGACTGTAGACAAGGCTGTATGATAATTAATCTTTTGATTTTTGCAAATGTACGAAATAAAACTTCACAGATTTCCTGTCAGGCCGATGACAACAAATAAATTATATTTATTTTTGTGATTTTTGGTTTAAAAATATTTTTTGTGAAGTGTTAATCAGAGAAGTAGGAGGAAAGATTCTGAGAAAAATGCGAAATTGATGGCTCAGTAAATATGTAGTTAGCACCATCTTTTATCAATGGTAACAAGGTAATGACGTAATAGTAATTTTCATAATTTTCAAGATTGTGACTTTATCAAAAGTCCCTGAGCCGTTTTTCATGGAAATTATAGATTTTCAGCCATTCAGCATTAAATATTGCTAAATACAATATTTATACATTGCTAGGGCAGTGCCTCATACAAAATTTTACCATGTCCTTTGAGTTGAGATCATACTAATATTATAAAGGCGAAAGTTTGTGAGTGTGTATGTTTGTTACTTCTTCGCTTCAACATAGGCTACGTTTTACTGCGGGAAAACAACCCTAATAAACCGCGGGTAACACCGCGGGGCACAGCTAGTAAACTATCATCATCATCATCAGCCTATTAATGTCCCCACTGCTGGGCACAGACCTTCTCTATGGATGGAACAGGGAGATTGGGCCATGACCCACCGCGCGGGCCCAGTGTGGATTGGCGGGTGCTAACGACTGCAGATGCAGCCGGGACCAACGGCTTAACGTGCCTTCCGAAGCACGGAGGAACTCGAGATAGAAGATTTTTGGCCACCCATCCATTGACCGACCACTGCGAAAGTTGCTTAACTTCAACGATCGCAGCCGAACGCGCTAACAACCTGCGCCATCGAGCTCCTTAGTAAGCAGTAGTAAACTATATGCGAACCAAATTTCACCCAAATACGTTTAGCAGTTTTGGCGTGTTCTATTATTTAACATCATACAATCTTTCATATTTATAGTATTACTAGTAGCCGCTCGCGACTTCGTCCGCGTTTATTTTAATTTTTTGAGACACCCACAGGAACCTAAAAATTATCCTATCTCTCACTCCAAGCCA